ATTGATCTCTTCTCAAGTTGAACTCTGAGGAACACAAATGAAACTTTACCTGAGGAGTTTTTTAGTTTGGAAAACTCGATTTTTACTGGAAAATATTATTGGGATTGCAGGAAGTCAAAGTTTGTGATTTTTTAAACCCATAACCTGCTTTGTAAATTAGTTGACAGGATGCTGAACATGAAAGCAAGGGTAAAAGTTTCTGAATTATAAGTCACTAACTTCCTTTTGAAAAACATCAAAGTACTGTACATCCATCTTCATTGTTTTTTTTTAGGGCTGCTAGAACATGACCCCAAAGGCCTTCAGAAATTTGAGTTATGTGGAGGTTTGAGGGTAAAAGTTTTAAATTAGGTAAATTTGTAATACATTTCTGTAAGGGAATTCAGACAGGTACTAAAAAATTGACACAAGGAGTTTCTTTAACCTAAGCCTAAGGTTTGAGTCATTGAGACCCAACTGTAAAAAAAAAAGCTTGATGAACAACTCCAAAACAGTTTATGCACTCATGATTATGTTTCATAAGCCAAAATTGAATATTCAAACTAATTGTACTGACTTTTCTCTTCCTTGGCAACATTTTTGCAAATATTGACCTTATGTAACAAGTTAGAAAATGCCATTCAGGGGGAAATTGGCAATTATGATTTTTATTTTTGAGACAATCCAGATAGTAATTGAATCTCGTTATAACGTTGCCATTGTAACAAAACGCGGGATACCTATTGTACAATTGAAAATAAAAATTGATTAAATCGCGACTCAGATAGAATTGTGTATTAGATACTTTGACCTTGAAAAATAATTATTGATATAAAATATAAATTCCTGTAACGAAATGCTTCACTTAAATCAGGGGATAAAAACCTGCCTACTGTAATTTTTTTTATTCTTCCCTCACTTATTTCTTCTGTGATTCTCTTGGAATGCAATCAACAGCATCTTAAATTATTGAGAGCTCAACAAATTATTGAGAACTCAAAAATTATTGAGAACTCAACTAATTATTGAGAACTCAACAAATTATTGAGAACTCAACAAGTTATTGAGATCTCAACAAATTATTGAGAACTCAACAAATTATTGAGAACTCAACAAATTATTGAGATCTCAACAAATTATTGAGAACTCAACTAATTATTGAGATCTCAAGAAATTATTGAGAACTTAACAAATTATTGAGAATGGTCCATCATATGATTATTTTTTTTACAGCCAAAGTATCTTCTCAAACTCGCAAAAAATACCTTTTAGCACTTTCAGTACTGTACAGTACTCTACTGCAATTTCACTGTATGTTCGCTTGGACAAGAAAATTCCGTGTAAAATTATTCCTCTCTTCCTTTGTCTTGGCCAAGGAATTTCAATTGCAGCAAATTGATGGTATCAATGAAATTGGGCTCCTTGGAACTGGTAGTGTATTAAATGAGGCAGAACTTCTGGGATCAGTTGGAATATTGAATCGTTGGACCATCTCAGGGCTTGTTTGCTAACGATGTCGGAATCATCTCCCCCCCCCCCCCACCACTAAATTTTAATTGGATGTTGGACCAGAAAGGGCGCCAAGTAAAAATCATTTAATTCCGCTGGTTGGGTTCGATGTCTCCCCGAATTAGTGAACGTCTTTTTTTTTATGTCATCCTTTTCAAGTTGTTTTTGAAAATAATTGTTCCTTTCCATGCGAGATTCCCGTTAGCTGCTACGTATATATGGGGACAAGGAATGGAAAAGAAGTGGTTATTACTATAGTCTTGTGTGAGAAATTTATTTGAAGGCGTTGGGATAATATTTTTTTTGTAGAAGACTTTTTTGTACAGAATAGGAGGACTGTGTGAATGACTGCATACTTTTTTTTTTTTTAGCAAAATGTTACAGAAGTAAAGTCTGGGTCATTTTATTGTGCTGAAGTACAGTAAATGAAAATGTTCACTAAACTTCTCTGAAAATCACATTTGACCAGAAATAGTATGAATATAAGTTCAGGAATAATTTTGATATTTCAATAGTGTATTTTTTATATGGAAAATCGAGTCTTCCAAGTTTTTTTCAACACTTCATTTTATCCTCCTTTTTTGTATGTTAGATGTGGAGATGAAGGGTTAATTATAAAAATGAATTTGGCATTTAAACAATGAAGAAGTTGTTGGAATTCACAAATTGATCCACTGTTGGCACATTGATGGCATTAATCAAAATGAAGTACAATTTCCTTTTGTACTTGTGTTTCTGCTGGGGGTGCCCGAAATTTTTTCATTTATGGTATACAGTGGTACTTTACTGTACCTCAGATTCCAGTATCTGTTGGAGTGAAGCACGTCAACGGCCATACCACATTGAAAGCACCCGTTCTCGTTCGATCACGGCAGTTAAGCAATGTTGGGCCCGGTTAGTACTTGGATGGGAGACCGCCTGGGAACACCGGGTGCTGTTGACTTTTTTCCTTATTTTTCTTGAAAAAAATACCTCAACAGTCAATCCATGTGTATCACATTTTGAAAGTCTTATTTATTTAGTTGAACAGGCAATTAGTTTAGAGGAACATGATTGTGATGTCGAGTTTTGATTTTCATCATTTTCTCTGATTTTCCAAGCTGCAGATGATTTTTACTTATTGCAGCTGCTGGTCACACTGCAGTTCTTTGTGTGCTTCGTGTGAAATTGAGTGAGTCAGATATATATTTATACCTCGTTTCGGAGTCCCTTGATTTTAAGGAAAACTTCTGGTACTGATTCGTGTTGAGGCTTCGGAACAATGAATTTTTTGGCATGGTATACTGCAGTACTGTACAGTACTATACGTTAGAATCCAGACCCAAAAGACTCAAAGTATGTCAACGGCCATACCACGTTGAAAACACCCGTTCTCGTTCGATCACGGCAGTTAAGCGACGTTGGGCCCGGTTAGTACTTGGATGGGAGACCGCCTGGGAACACCGGGTGCTGTTGACTTTTTTCCTCTCTTTTGCTGAAATTTAAATTTGAATATCTGCCTAGCCTCTCGTTAGCTGTCCTTTTTTTGTTCATATTCTCGTTCAAATGTGTATCCTTTTAATACCAAGGTAAAAAAAAAAGCTGGACAAAAGTCTGAAATACTGTGGATTCTATAACCTGTTCGATTCAGAAAACTAAATTTGCGAAATTTTTCTCCATGTTCAAGCTGTCCAGAGAAATTTAATCATTGTATGATGCTCACGTGAAAACCGGTTGTGTATTTTTCAAAATTCACTGCCTTTTTTTTAGCCTATTTAATGTCTCCATTTTAACGAAGTTTCAGCGTTTATATATTGGAATTATCTTCACAAAAGAAAGCTAAAAAGTCCGTTTTCAGTTTGAATGTCTCTTATTATAAAGCTTACACCGTGTTCAAAATTTTTTGCTTGCCGCCGAGAATCCGTCTTTGTTAATGAGATACTGTCCTTTATAATGAACGAAACGCAAAGATCTATTCAGTATTTTGCTTGAAGTACTGCAATAATTGATGTGATCATATGCGCTTGTCGTCCAGAAAAATCAGCACAGTACAGTACTAAAATACAATGAGTAATTTTCCTTCAACAACACAAAGGGTGATTTGAGGAAATTCGCCATGGAGCCAAAAATCAGCAGATGCCGACATATAGATGTAAAATTTTAGAGCTTATATTATCATCAAAGTGAAATAAGTAAATTATGAGAAAAATACCATGTCCAGAATTTTTTTTTTTAACCTTAACTGGGGTTTCAGAGGTTTCTGTGCCCAAGAAGATCTTTGTTTACTCTGGCTGTTCTGGTTCTTTTGTATTCAAAGTGAGAGATAATCTTGGCAGAAACTATGATCTTGATCTTAATTAATGGACCCATTCAGTATTGTTGTATTTACAGATTTTCAAATGGAGCCTTCATTACTGTTGTTTAAATTAAAGTACTGTACCATATTTACTGGAGTGACTTCAAAAGTTGAGACCAAAGGCTGGGTTTGCACATCAAGTTTCAGTATAATCTTCTTCAAGATTTTCAGCATTCTTGTAATATTATCCTTGCATCATATAACAGAATAAATTAAAAAAGTTGAAGCAATCAGGTTCTTCTTTCATTTGATCATTGATCAATGAATTTGGCTGTTCTATAATTCTTGAATTTTAGCCATTTTCACTGAAAACTGTTTCTTGTGCAGAAACAAGTTCTTACTCAATTTGGCAGCCCAAAAATGAAGTTCAATGAATGAATGAACAGAACACTTTATTTGCCACTTTTCAGTGTTCACAAGGCTCATTCAAGATTTCCACAACCCAACCCAAATCCACCCAATGACATTTAATCACTTCAGAGCAGGAAACAGAGCACAGATTGATAACAAAAATAAAAGAAACTACAATCCATGAAATACAACTGGACATGTGACATGTATGCATACACCCATTCATTTTCTGACATTGGAAACAAAATATATGTAAAAATTAATTTAAAGCACAAGGTTTTCAGCTTGTTTCTGTATGAGGTTTAGTTGAATGAACAAATTAGAGAGTTGAAATACAACTGGACATCTGACATGTATGCATACACCCATTCATTCCGTGACATGGGAAACAAATTATATGTAAAAATTAATTTAAAGCACAAGGTTTTCAGCTTGTTTTTGTATGAGGTTTAGTTGAATGAACAAATTAGAGAGAATCTTCGGTGAGAAATCATAAAAGGCCAACAGTTTATCTTGATCCTTTAAGATTTCAGATAGGGTCTCTTCATTGAATTGCAATACTTGTAAATCCTTCTTAAGCTTATTCCTATCAGTATGAAATGCTGGACATAAGAAGAGAAGGTGCTCTGGTGATGCACAAACTAATTTATTTATGCTGCAGGGGTTACACCACTTTGAAGTTCAAAGTTAATGCTCAAAGTTTATGCAATGGTGTGTAGTCTATGGTGCATGTATTAGATTTGATTTCTCTCTTTATGTGTAATGTGCAAGGAAATATTGAAATTGACAAACATTTTTGCTTGAATGTTTTTTTTTTAATTTTCAGGCTACCTTGAGAATGGGCAGAGCAGCTACAAAGAAGGATGTGGAGCGCAGAGTGGCTGACTTGATTGACAGTCTTGGGCTCAACAAGTGCCAAAACACCAGGATTGGCATGCCAGGGGTGACAAAAGGGATCTCTGGTGGAGAGAAAAAGAGGCTCGCTTTTGCCTCAGAAGTGAGTGTCAAAGTATTCATTTGATTTCATGGTCTTTTTTGTTGCTGTTGCAAATTTATATTTGCAGTATGCTGTATATATACTCAGTAATGGAAGATCAAAGTGTTGCCTGTCATGTAGACAGTATATCAAGTACAGTGAGACCCTGAAATGCAGACATAGTTGGTGCATCAGGAGTGTCCTGAAGTTGAAATGTCCCTAAGTTGAGTTGCATTTTCCCTTAGACTTACTTCATATAAATTTTAAGCGGTGTTTTATGGAAGATGTATTCTACATGAAAAAAAGGGGAAAGAAAAGTTGTCTGCCAATCAGAACTGATTCAATCCATATCTTTCAACTCAATAAGTAAATTTGGAGCATTGAATACTGTACATGTGGTACCTTGGAATTTGACCCTCTTCCATTGCCAAACAGGGGGCAAATTGCAAATTGGTCAAATTGCAAGGCACTCCATGAAATTTTAAAGTATAAGTTTAAAAGTGGTTGTATATTCCAGAAGTTGATCATGATCCATATTTCTCTGAATTTTTATTTTCTAGAAACTTGAAATCAATTGTCTTGTGGTTCTTGAGACTTTAGAGTTTGGTACAGTACAAAAGAGAGGAATGTCAAACTTTTCTGGTAAACTAGAAGTTTTCAGGGCGGGTTTATGAAATTGTATCTTTGATTCTTCAAATTTTTTCTATAAATGAAAGAAAAATGAAATTCGGTTCAGGCGGATCAGAATTTAAAAAAAAACACATTTCACAATATTGTTTACTGTATTAGAAACAAGCAGCATAATGTATATAAAAATCCAGTTGATGTTCAATATACAATAAGTTTAATATAAATATTTATTTAATTTATTATTATTCATTTATTTATTCAATATTTATTTATTTATTTCTTCAATATGTATTTACGTATTTAATATTTATACATATTTTTCAATATTTATTCATTTATTCAATATTTACTTATTTATTCAATATTTATTTATGTTTTCAATATTTATATACTGTATTTATTTATTTATTTAATATTCATTTATTTATTTGAATATTTATTGGCTGAAATATATTTTTTCTCTGAACTTGCCCGCAGATTGTTACGGATCCGCCGTTGTTGTTCTGCGACGAGCCCACTTCCGGTTTGGACAGCTACATTGCTGACAAAATCGTGAGGGTCATGCGAGACCTGACCCAGAACCAGGGCAAAACAATCGTGTGCACAATTCATCAGCCGTCTTCCGAAGTCTTTGCCCTGTTTGACGATGTTCTCTTGCTTGCTGAGGGACAAACCGCCTACATGGGCACTTCCAAGGGTGCTTTGGAGTTTTTTGAAAGGTATATACTGTACTGTACCCGAGTGACGGAAACAATTTTTTTACTGTTGTTAGGAAATTTTTAAATCACTCGCAAAATCAGAAGATATTAGCTTGAAATTCAAGAAATTAGCTAGTGAATTCTTTAGCTTAAAAAAATTTGAGAAACTCTGAAAAATGAAGCTTTATAATAAGTTGCAAAAAAGGAAAGGAGAATGCAAATCAATCAGCTGGGCTGCAGCTGGAACTTGTGTCCTAGTACAACGTTGATATATTGTTTGAATGATATAGGATTCCATAAGATAGAAAGAATTGCAAATTCACAACTGGACAAATTCAAATGGCACTTGCAAAATCAGCTCAAGGTTGAGGACACAATGCAGAATGTATTTTGAAAGAAGAAATCAGAGAAGAGATCAACTTTTTTGGATTAGAGTTGAATTGGATTAGAGAAACTCCAACATACAGTACCCTGACTTATAGACAATTTGACTTTGGGACACTTGAAACTTTGAAAAAAAACGAGACCCAACATCTGGACAATAATGTTTCAGCATAAGGACATTTTTCCTTCATTCTTCGGAAAAAAAAGAAAATGTATCCCTTCAAAATTTGGATATTTCTTGAACAAATTGAACTACAGTATTTGTATTCAAAAAAGAAAAAATAATTTTAAAAATCATCATAAATTTACTGAAATTTATAGAATCAAGAACAGATGAACCTTGTGCATATATTTTTGGAGTATTCTCCATCATTGCAAGACTTTTATTTTTCTTTGCTTTTTGGATCCCTTTGATGCCAGAAGATCAGATACTTTAATTTTTTTCTGTACAGTTATATTCTGTATCTTGTCATCATATAATCAAATGAGTCTTCAATATTAATTATACAGTATACTCTTTTGGCGCTCTTTGCTTGTTTGGCTGGAACTGATGCTGTTTGACTTGGAGTTGTATTAAAGTCACCTTATTCAAGAATTGAACTACAGTTTTTGTATTCAAAAAAAGAAAAAAATCTTTTAAATATCATAAATTTACTGGAATTTGTATAATCAAGAACAGATTAACCTTGTGCTTATATTTTTGGAGTATTCTCCATCATTGCAAGACTTTTATTTTTCTTTGCCTCTTGAACCCAGTTTAAAGCACAAGGTCTTCAGCCTGTTCCCAGATAAGGTTTAGTTGAATAATGAAGAATTCAGAGAGAATCTTTGATGAGAAATCATTCAAGGCCAACAGTTTATCTTGATGGAGTGAGAATGCAAGTATAAGTTTCCTTGTTTTTTTTTTTTTTTTTTTTTTTTTTTTTTTTTTTTTTTTTTTTCTTTTTTTTTTTTTTTTTTTTTTTTTTTTTTTTTGTTTTTGTTGCATCCAGGTTGGGTCACAAGTGTCCAGCGACGTTCAATCCGTCAGACTTTTTCGTTTACACCCTCGCCGTGGTGCCTGGACAAGAATCAAGATGCAGGAACAAAATCAGGGCAATTTGCAATCAATTCACCGTGTCTGAAGACGGGCTCAAGATGGAGGAGAATGTTCAGCAACAGTACAACTCCACATTGAGGCTTGATGTCGAATCTTCTTGCTCTGACTCAGGGGTAAGAATAATAAGCTTCACTTTATATAATGACGCTGAAGAATCGATGCAAATCAATTTTCTTGTATTTATTGTTTTTGTTGTTGTTGTTGTTTGCAGTACGAAGATGAAGTGTTCAACAGGGGCAAGAGGTGAGTTCTGGGCTTTTCTGAATGTTTTTTATATACGGTACTGTGTTATGTTATATGAAGTGCATTATTTTTTGGAATGTTTCTGATTTCAATGCTGTTAAAAATTTTGTCGAATGTGGCGGAATATTGGCTGCAAGTTTCGCGAGGATTGATGATGATGTTAAAATGGTTTTTGTTGAAATTCAGTTTCTATTTTTTTTCAAAGTTGTCACTTTCTGAAGCAGGGACTGCAATAATGTTTCATGAACATTATTGTTGCTCAACTTAGTTGAAAGCGTCTCTTTTAATTTTTATTTGTGTCGTAGGCAGTTTTTCAACTTTTCCTGCGTGCGCATGAAACGTTCACACTTCATGAAATTCAATTTTAATGTACAGTAAAGTACAGTACAGTGTAGTACAGTGTTTCCAAATGAAAGGAATGTTGAACCTCAATTTTCTCCCTTTATTTCTCGCATGTATTTTAGGAGGAAGCCCAAGTGGAGCACTCAGTTCAGACAGTTATTCAGGCGGTCTTTGCTGGACTCTGCTCGTAATCCATCCGTGAACCGCGTCAGGACCATACAGAAGATTGTAAGGGATCATTTCATCTGCTGGGATATGGACAAATCAAGACAGACAATTTGAGACTGATGGAAAAATCAAGATGCAAAATTTGAGACAGGGACAATTTGAAACAGAAACATTTGGAGACAGGGACATTTTGGACATCCAGAGACAGGGACAATATCCAGAGACAGGGACAATTTGAGACAGTCCCAAATTATAACTCTGCACACACAATTTTTTTTCCTGTAACATTCAAATTTTCTGGTTTTCTCAATATTTTTTGTGTGAATCTTATGTATCTTATGCAGGTGGCGCCCTGTAATTTGACCCTAATCCATTTCCACTCAAGGGTCAAATTGTGAAGTGGTCAAATTGCTAGACAATGTCAAATTCAATGTCTTCTGCATCAAATTTGACATTTTGAGTCTCTTTGCGGGTCAAGAGGTCAAAGTGGAAGATTCTTTGTGAATCTTATATATCTTATGCATGTGGTGCCCTGCAATTTGACCCTAATTCATTTCCAATTGAGGTTCAAATTGTGAAGTTTTCAAATTGTAAGACAATGTCAAATTCAATGTTTTCTACATCAAATTTGACATTTTGAGTCTCTTTGCACGTCAAATTGCAGGGCAAGAGATCAAAGTGCAAGATTATTTGTGAATCTTATGTATCTTATGCTGGTGGTGCCCTGCAATTTGATTGTAATCCATTTCTGGGTAAGGGTCAAATTGCTAGATAAAATTCAATATTTTCTGCATCAAATTTGACATTTTGAGTCTCTTTGCTGGTCAAATAGCAAGTTGACATCCAAGCAAATTTGATCATCAAGTTTCAGGAAGTTGAATTGCAGGGTACCACCTGTATTGGGGAATTTTATATTCCTTCAAAAATTCAGATATTGGAAATATGCTTTGTTAGAAATATTCCATTATACTACTTTTGAAATCCTATAGCTTTTTTTCCTATGCAAGGTGTTATGCATAGAAATTTGTGCCATTTTTCTTGACTGTAAGAGAATATTTTTTGCAGTTTACCTCTGCAAATATTTGGAAAAATGATGAAGGATGTTCTAATGCTTTTCATGTGTATTACAGTGTATTACAATGGTTCAAGAGAGAAATGAAAGCAAGAAAATGCTTCTGTCTTAAATAGTCCTTGTCTCCAAATGTACATGTCTCAAATTGTACTCTTGTTTCTGAAAGTTACTGCCTTGATTTGTTGCTGTCTCAAATTGGCCCTGTATTGAATTGGGCCTCATTGTCTGTCTTGATTCGTCCTAGATCCATTTCATCTCAATTATCCCAAAAAATTGTACTGCTTTGGATCAATATAATATAATTATTCATTTTAATTTTTTTTTGCTGAACCTTGTACATCATGAACCAGGTTTTAGGGGTGCTGATTGGACTGGTGTACACCAACATTGATTACACTCAACGAGGTATACAAGACATCACTGGAGCCTCGTTCGCATTCGTCACTGAAAACACGTTCCCGTCTTTGTTTGGAGTATTGGGCACTTTGCCTGCCGAGTTGCCGTTGATATTCAGGGAACATCAGAGCGGGATGTTTTCTGTTAGCTCGTTTTACCTTGCGAAAGTCGTGGCAATCGTGAGTTTTTTGTTTTTTTGTGTGCAACAATTCCTATTTATGCTTTGAGTTACGCAGGCGCCGCAAAATTGTTTCGAATTTTGCATTTCATATAATTTTTTGTGAGATGCGGAATAGTTTAAATCAGTGTTCCCCAACCCGTGGTCTGCAGAAGTTTTTTTTTTTGGCGGTCCTAGGGAAATTTTCAGCATAAAGTAGCAATGAACTCTGTTATCATTCAGCAATAGCAGTTGAAATTATTTGATGAAGAATAAAAGTTGGCTTTTCTCTGAATAATGCTTCAGGCACATTTTTACTTGCCGAAATAAATTATTTTAAATTTCCATTTTGAGAAACCTTTCTTCAAGCCCACCTTTCTAAGTTTTTAATGACATTCAGCTATAGCTGCTTCATAGGTGCTTATCCTAACTTTTGCAAGAAGCAGATACTTTTATATACCTGCCATAAAGTCTATCAAGCACAATTTTTGAAGTCTGTGAAAATTGTAAGAAACTTTGCTATTCCCCTCAAACATTATTTGGGAATTTGCTGGGGAAATGGCTCTTTTCAAGAGTTGAACAAAACTTGCTTCAAGGAATTAATTTAAGTGATATTTTTATTTTGTGCAAAATAACATATTTTTGAATCATTGTACTATTTTGATGTTTTCTACATTTTTTTTTTCTATACAGATACCTGGATTTTTAGTGGAGCCGTTTTTGTTCACCACGATTGCTTATTACTTGATGGGACTCCGAGGAGGATTCATTTATTACTTCAAAACGCTGATTTCCGTGTTCGTGACTGCGAATGCCGCCAGTGCTTGTGGTGAGTGATTTTCAATTTTCCAGAGAGAATTTTTGTGTTTTTTTTTAATATTCGGTGCTCAAATGAGGTGTAAGAGATGATTTTTAATCGTAATGGAAATGAATAAAAAGATATACCTTACCGTGCGTATACCGCAATTTCAGCTGCTGTCTCACAAAGAGGACTCTGGTATATACTGACATTGATGCAGAATATTGTGCATATTTTGACATTTTCGTATAAAGGGTGCCTTTTTAGCACGGCGTTTGAGTCGTATTCGGTCGCTATGGCGGCTTTGTTGCCGTTCGACGTAACCCTCATGATTTTTGGAGGTTTCTTCGTCAGGTTGAAGTGAGTTTTTAGGTTCACAATATATGACCGGATGTCACCTGGTTTTCTTGCCGCTTGTAGAATTTTTGCGTGGTATATTTATGTTTTTTTATTTCTGTACTGTACTGTATACTCTTCATTTGAAGGTTTTTTTTTATAGGTAGAGATTTTGGGTACATTTCCTGAGCTTGTGTAGGTGTCGCTTCAAGTCGTGTGTTGCTTGGTTCATGTTGCTGTCAAAACACAGCAAAATATTGAGTCAACCATTTTATGGGATTCAGACAAATCAAGACAGGCAGGAGCAATTATAGAGAAGGGACAATTTCAGATGGGGACAATTTGATATGGGGACAATTTGAGACAGGGATAATTTGAGATTGGGACAATTTGAGACAGGGTCAATTTGAGGCAGCAACAATTTGAAACAGTGACAAATTGAGACAGGGACAATTTGATATGGAGACAATTTGAGATGGGGACAATTTGAAATGGGGACAAATTGAGACAGCAACAATTTGAAACAGCAACAAATTGCAACAGGGACAAATTGAGATGGGGACAATTTGAGATGGGGACAAATTTAGACAGGGACAAATTGAGACAGATACAATTTGAGACAGGGACAATTTGAGATGAGGAAAAATTTATACAGGGACAAGTTGAGACAAAAGCAATCCTCATGAGTTTTTCTGCCACAATCTTTTTATGTTCAATGATAGAATGTTTTACAAATTTTCCTAAATTTAAATTTTGAAAAAAGGTTCTCATGGGCAAATGGATCACCTGGTGACTTTTTGAAACCCAACCAAGTATGATTTGAATAAAAACTTTTGACAGGTTGTTCAGGCTTTTTTTTAAATACACTTAAATAAATCTTCCTGATTCATTAATTCAGGCATGAATTTTTGTTTTCCCTCTGTATTGGAAGAAAAAATAAATAAAGCTAATCGACCGAGAACTTTGTCAAAGCAGTGCAGTTATTGGTCGGGCCGCCCATGCGTACAGCAGCAGCGACATCTATCCTTATTTTCCTTTGCTAGATAATTGGAATTTCGATGATATATATCGCAAGGATTTCTTTGCGTTGATTAACTCTGGAGCGAGTCTTTATTATTATTTTTTTATTATTGGTTTCGTTTCGTGCAATAAATTTAGGCTGTTTCTTGAGCACTGCCTCACCCAGCATAGACGCAGCAACGACAATTGCGGGCACTTTGATGCCCGTGATGATCATGTTTGCTGGGATCTACG